TTTGTGTGAATTATGATCTCGAGTCATTCGCTTAAAAACCATTTCATCTATCATTTTTACAAAATTTCTAAAATCACGATTCTAATTTCCCCGGAAAAACCAAACGTCCTAGGGCTTAAATTGTCACTTCTAAGGCCCTTTAAAATCATCAAAAAAACTTAGAAACGATTTTCTAAAAATGGCTCAATTTGGCACTTCTAGAGCCCTTTTCTAGAGTTCTATCCATAGCGTGCACCCATTGAATCCTCACTTCCAAGTTCCTTGAAAACTCACCCATCACCCCTTATCAAGCCACGACGACTTAAGTGCCTAATCCAACCCTCCAAAACTTGCCACCCTCCAATCTGTCACACCTCCTTATTTACATGACCTGCCCAAACTTGCTAATCCCAATCCCAGAAACTGTGCACACCGTATCAGATTTGCCCATTCCGCGAGGATACTCCTTCCCCCACTGAGTACTAGCCTTGACAGGTATCCCCAGGGCAGATTGGCACCTTGCCAACCCAACCCAAATGTCCAGATTTTAACCACCTGCCCGTGATGGTTGGGTAATCCCCTTCTAGATACCCTGCGGGCCCGTTCAATCAGATCACGGACATCAAGTTCTAACCCAGGTGCACTCCCGCGTCTACCCCTCTAATTGCCCTGAGGCCATTTTCAGACCCCTTTAAAGGGACCGATTGAACAAAAGGCGGGGGCGTGATTTATGACGGTGGGGAACAATGGGTGCAGAGTTGACGGCCAAGGGATTGTTATTAGATGTTGCGCGGTTCTTGTTCGTTTTTTACATTTTTTTTAAGGATATTAGGCAGCTTTCTGGTCAATTTTTAAAAAAGAAAATGATTTTTACTCTAAAAATGGATTTAATAAATTGGAATGAAGCTTTCGGAGATTTACAAAAGTCGGGAAAGCCTTAAAAATACGTAAATATCCATTATCCATTTTTATTAAAAACTGCATTTCAAAAAATTAGATTGATGCTCTGGCTTCAATAGCCCTTTAAAATCATTTAATAACTCTCAAGCCACGAGGCTATAGTTGGTATAGCTTAAATATAACATAAAAATCGTAAAACGTAATTTTTTGCGTGCTATAATTTATCTATTTTGATTTAAACACCTTTTTCAAAAACCAGATAAAAACAGTGGCTATGACTTCAATGGCCCTTTAAAAGCATTAAACGCCATCAAGCCTTAACCCATTTGACGCCAGTTTTTAGCATATGAAAATGCAAAACGAAAATTGTTAGTACGGCCTAAAATTTGCAAAATTTTCGATTTAACATACAGTACCAATCCTTGCCTTCAATAGCCTTTTAAAATCCCTGAGGGCACAACCTACATTCCCGGAAGAACCGTCCCAATCGCTCACCCACGTAGTCCGAAAAGTTCAGCGTTCCCCATCCCACCTCCAGGTTCCCGGTATATCCGGGGGCAGCTTTTGGACTGCAGCTGTCAACAAAAAGTGTGCGTGTGCCTGGCTGTGTATGTGTAAGTGCTCAACCCAGTCCCTCGCCATCAACAAGTCTGGAAGTGCCACAACCACCGGCGGCTTGGTGTTGTCCTTGGGGCAGACGTTGGCTGGGGGCGATGTGCCTGAGGGCACGTGGCCAAGCAGGAGGCTGGACCCTCGGGTTTGTTTTGGCACCCACCCCTAGCACCGACCAGAGTTCAACGCCCCGCCCATTTTTCTCGACGCGAGAGGGAGAGGGAGAGAGAGATGTGTCCCTTTAGCCTGGGCCATGGCCCCGCCCCTTGCGACTATGAAGAAATGGGACACGCTGGTCAGAGGGCCCATTTTGGGGGCCCACCCCCCTGGGTATCATTCCTCTGTTTTTATGGCTTATGAAATTGGTCTTAAGTGCCAGAAATAGCCATTAAACCACAGTACGCTTGGCTCTGGATCAAGGTCCAATTTTTTACCGTCATATTAATTTTTTTCAGATCATAGTGAATTTATATACACTATTTTTTATGGAAATCATCCTCTCTCCTCTAGAACCTTGGTAACATGCCAACAATCCTCAAGAATTCCGACTCACACCTGAAAGCACATTGTAAACCGCTCCCTTCCAAGTATTCCATCCGCTTCCAATTTCCAATTAACTGCCAAAAATTTGCACCTGCCCCCAGTTGTGTCTCGCAATAACAAGCTTTTGACAAGAAATTAAAGAGATATAAGAATCAATGAAAACTATCTTTATTAATTTAATACATTTAATATACCTTATTTACGCTTATTAATATACACTTGCATCCACCTCAATTGCTTTACTTTTCGATGGCAATTGTCTAGCCACGGCTGGTTGTTGCCTTTTTTTAATCAGGGATGCCCCGGGGCACGTAGGCAACAACGAGGGCCATCCATCAAGACGACCCACCCCTGGGTCCCCTCTTTGTACTTTCCGTTAGGGCCCAAAAACACGGAGTGGAGGTGGTGGGGGAAGGGCCCTAGATTGGCACGTCTGAGCAAGACGATCAGTTGATCTCTAGGTGTATTGGGTAGTATTGAAAGGACCAATGAAGGCTAGGACTCTATAGGATTTTCTAGATTTTTGAAGTTTCGAGGATTACGCGACTTCGCCTTCCAATTTCCTTTAAACTCGGTTTGAATAATTTTGCGATTTTTTAATTTTTTATTTTTTAATTTTTCTTATTAACCGTCATTTATTCTACACATTTAAGATCAATTTAAACCCATTGGTTTAAATCAAATCTATCTCAAGATGCTCGATAAATAACTAACTCCAACCGCATAAAAATAACTCCACCGTATGATTCCAACTTCTTATCTCTCTTCTACCTTCAAAGTTCCTTTAAAATCGGATATCTATATTTTTTTAATCTTTCTCGTCTTCCTTCTTTCATTGATCGCCTCTTATTCATCATTTTCAGCAAAATACCGCAATCTTCGCCCCAGGACCCCGACCGGGCCGCTTCAATACGTTCCGCGACAATACGCCGCCCGCGGACAACGAACGATGTTTGCGCCTGTACTTTCCGGAGGGAGGGGTTGACTTTGCGCAAGAGGGGGGTTGAATGTGGAAGAAGGAGAATAAGAGGCGAGCAGGAGGAGGAGACCCATTTTGGTGCGACCCGCCGCCGCGCGACAAGCTCCTTGACTTTTTTTTTGGGCGCTGTGGGGTGAACGAACCACCTAGACTGGAGCACTTCAAAACTGGGGGTTGGTTTTTTGGCGGGGAGAACGAGGGTGGTAAACATATCGTTAATGCGGGGGTATGTTTGGTTTAGAGGCCAAAGTTTTAAAAAGTATTTCTTTGCTAACTTCATGTCTTTTGGTAAGGATTTATTTTTTACGACAAAATTCCGGAAATCGGAAGTAAAAACTGAGCATTCTCGGGTACTGGACTGTTAGCGGGGGGAGGGGGGGGGGGCGGGGGTTGCCAGGTGGAAAACTGATTTTTGTTTTTCCACTCGTACCAACCTGGTAATAAAAAAACCACTGTATTTTTATAAAGTTTTTAATATTTTCTGATTGCTAGACAGTTACAAAAATCTTTAAAACATTTCTGAAAGTTCGAAAATTTCTGTTTTTTATAAGATTTTTATATGTAAAAACTGCGTAAAATTCGCTAAAAACACGCATTTTGTTATAGAACCGTGAGAATTAGTTGACCCTGACAACCTGACAACGCCCTCTCCCCCCCGCTAACAATCCAGTACCCAATTTTGAACTTACCATCAATGTTTACCACTATAAATTTTAATTTAATTTTTCGAACGCTAGCTACAATTTTTGGCTCTTCTTTTTCTTTCACAAGCCATTTTAAACCATAAAAAATTTTCTTACCATCTAAAATTCCCCATCCTCCCTGAAAGATAGCCGGATTGGGGCACGGTTTAGAATAGGCAGAGGGCGGGAGGAGGTGAGGAAGCAAACATGATAAGCATTGCAAAGCCAACCCCCGGGGTTGGGCGAGGCGCTATATTGTTGTATATGTGCGTATCTGTGGTGTGTTTGTGGTGTGGCTAGGAGTGTATTGGAGCCGTGCCCCGGTCACATTTGCTCTTTCGAAAGCGCCGCGTGTGACTCATCCGCCTAACCCGCCCACATCTTGCCTTTGCTCGTCCATTTTCACGCCCTGGGTTTTTGATTATTTGGGTTCACTTTCAATTTTTTCTTGATCATCTTCTACAAGGTCTTCAAGAAGTTAATTTTCTGATTATTTGCATGTCGTAATCGTCTGATTTTTCCTCGTTTTCGATCAATTTCCGTTGTTTATCGCTGCGTCATCTTTTTCTGTGGTTAGTCATTCCCATCAACTTTTCACTGGAAAGACACTTCACGTTCTCTAATCGATTAGAAGTGTTATTTTTGGCTTTCTTTAATGCGGGAACGCCTCAAGGTATGTTTTAGGGGTCAAGCTTGTTTTCCAGGTGCCTTTAAAAGTTCTAAAATAGCGAAAAAATTATTAAAGCTATTTTAGCACAATGTATTTCCATCTGGAAGTAATTTTAAAATATTTTAAATAATTTCTGGATTTTCTTAATTTATTTCAGGTGTAATGCCTGAATTTTTATGCAAATTTAGCTTAATATAGCCGCTTTTACAACTTCTCTTTTTTAGATATACATAGAATAATTTAATAACTGGATTTAAGCAGAATCGAATTTTTCAAAATTTGCCTGCATATTTAAAACAAATTTTACTCGTTAAATCCAGCCCTCCAACCGAAAAATCGCATGTCTACAGTACCGCATTTCATTTTTTTCCAAAAAATCACCCATACGCTATGGAAAAGACTATGGAATCAATGCGACCGGCACTGTACCCTCCACCGTTTCATCCCAGTTTTATTATCCGCCTTTTCCACCGGTTGGTTGTGCTGTCCTTTCTTCCATCCCCCCCCCCCCTCCATCTCCCCTTCCTTGCCCATCATTTACGACACTTTTTCATCCCGTCAATTCTGTGCCCCCGCACTGACAGCACACCCACCCATGGCCTCCCTGGCCCACCTCGCGAAGATAAAATCGGGCATGCAGAACAGCAGGGAGACCCTGTCACTTTACATGACAATTAAAGCCGATGTAGCCGGTCAGGCGCCTGGATTTTTTTTTAAGGTTTTGGCGAAAAATAATTTAGAAACCGGTTTTTGAGATTTTGGCGAGTTGCCAACCTCTCTTTTGCTTCGATGCTGCTTTAAACTAGCGGCTTAGCAAATTTTGGCTGCTGCCAGACCGGTGTCAACCTCCTTTTTTAGCTTTTTTAAGGGATTGGCTAGCAAACCGGCAAATCGGAACATTTTTGGAGAATAACATCGCGTAAGCGATTACGCAAGGTTTTGACCTGGCAGCTTGCCAAAAATCAATTGAATAAAATTTTGTAGTCTGCTATTTTTTGCGCTTTGGCAAGGTTCTACAAAAAAAAATCGATTACTGTATTTGAAATGAAACTGAAATTTATTTTTATAGCATTTCGAAAGGTTTCAAAATCCCGATAGTGCTTATTTCTTGGGTTTTTTAGTGCTTGACTGCGCTTCAAATCGTGATAATTCGATTCCTACGGGTATTTTAGATGTTTTAGCAACCTACAAACTATTATTTCGACTTAAGAACCTTTATAAAACGCAAAAGACCCGTATTTTGATGCATACAAATTTATCCCCAACCCCTGTGCTCTGCTCAGATCACCAAAACCACCCCTTACAACGCCTAGAACTTTATACCCAGCCATTTTTTCATGTGCATGAGTTCGCCCCGATCCCCCACCCATTTTTGTGTGGGCCGTTTCGAAGGTGTTTGCCCTTTTTCGGATTTTTTTTCGGGCCGCCACACTCACACGCCCTCCCCCCTCTCGCTCACTCGTTACACTTGCCAACTCGCACTCACCGCCCCGGGATCGCGTCGATTTTTCCATTTATTTTTTTGGCGGGGGAGGCTAGCTAGTGGGGAGTCCGAGCGAATTTTGTGGGACGGAACTCCACTTGGCTGGTGTCCGGTGATGGTTTTCTCTCTTTTTTTTTGGTGGGGGGGGGGGGATTGGCATAGACAAAAGGCTGGGAGAATGATCTCGGAGTGCTGGTGGGGTGTGGGCTAGACTGGACGAGATTTTTGAGATATTGCGAATTTAGTTGCGTAATGGATTGTGTACGGAAATTTCGGCTTGGCTTGCAATTTAGTTTCATTTTTAGTGAAATTTTGTTTTTAAGGCTTTTAAAGGGCCACTGAAGTCAGAATTATTTTTAGAATCTGCTATTTCAGGAAATTCGAATTGTTACGGTATCTGATTGGCAGTGTCATTTTCCATGTAAAACTCACATTTCTAATCACTTTAAAGCCCCATTAAAGCCAAAACATCAACCCCTGTTTCACCACTTCGTGCTCATTTTGGTCCACCCGACCGCAGTTCCGGCCCCACTACCATTCAATCTCCATCGGCTGCCCATTTCGGACGCTGCGCGTCAGTTTTGTGACGTTTTCACCCGTGTCTGCCCCGCCCATTTTTGTCCATTCATAATCGTCCTATTTAAAGTATCATTCTCATTTCTTTCTAACCTAGCATTGATTTCACTTTAAACCATCGATCCCCTTCGATCCCGGGATTTTTGTCGTTTCCGTCCCAAAAGCCGCCCTTATCATCATTTTTCCCCTCCCCCAGCCCCACCCAGGGGTCCTGGCACGTCATCTGCCCGCTTCAGAATTACGCTAAAAAACAGCAATCGACGTTAGGGTGATGACTGTATCTTACGCATCGTTGTTTCCGGTTTCTCTCCTTTTTCCTTATTTTGAGGCCTGTTCCTCGTATTAAGAATCATCTAAAATCGGTTCCACCCGTCTTAAATTCTCTATTTTCGAATTCAAATCTATAAAAGAAACTTATGGCCACTGTTTTCCCTCTTCCCCCTCGCCTCCACTTCTTATGTTTTCGTTGTGCCCACCCCACCCAAAAAAAAGGAAAAACAGGAGAAATCAGGCTATGCGAAAAGTGAGGAGCACGAGCAGGTAAGAGGAGGGGAACTGTTTTGCCTGCCCACCGAGTCACAAGCGTTCCACCACGCTACAATAGCCCAAAAATTGGAGGTCCCTTCCCTCACAAAGCGTATCCCCATCCGAAGGAACCCCTCGAGCTCCTGCTCTTGCTCCCCCCACTACTCAACATCTTTTCTCTGTTGCTTTTTTCTTGTATTGTTGTTTTCTGTTTTCTGCTTTCTGGGTTCTCTGTTTCTCGTTCTCCCTCTCGCTCTGGCTCTCTAGCTTTTCGTTCTCTTCCCAAATAATCACAGCTTATTGCCCATTTTCAGGTACCCACCCACGCGCTGAATCTACCCCAGCTTTCGTTTTTGCATTTTTTCGGAATATTTTGAGAACGTTGGAGACACTACGGTGTCCCGAAAGGTTGGTTCAGTTTTGTTTAAAACTATTAAAATTTATTATGCTATAAACTATAATATCTTCCTAATTTTTTGGCTATTTTTAATCGTTTAGATTTGAAAATTCTACTTTCCTCGCAAAATTTACATTTTTTTGTTGAGAGCATAAAAAAGTTGATCTGGCGCGTAACGTAGCCCTCTTTTTGATCTCAACTGCCCTCTAAAAATTTCTATCTTAATCCTAATCCAAATTTAAAAACCCAACTACGCAACACTACAAATTCCAAGTGCAATCCCGAATTTCAGCATCCAAAACGGCCCGTGAGAAGCACCGCAACGTGACGTGCGAGGAGGTGGCAGGCGCCCTCGCCGCGGACAAGATCCGGCTGCCCCAGCACGTCTACCGGTAAGATTTACCTTACATTGATTTTTATACAAAAATTAGCATATTCTCATTTATATAAAATTATCTGAATCAAAAAGCTTTCTCTATTTAATTCATATCGTCGCAAAATTAGAATTTTTTTCACTCATCTCCTACTTTAAATTTCCGAATCCGATTGTCAAGATGATTTAAACAAGAGGAACTCTAATCTGATCCCCCAAAATCGACCTCTCCCCTGGTTTTTCATGCACCAACATAGACAGACACATTGTTTGCATCTGATTTTTTTGCCATGGCTCATTTTGCGTTCGCAGCGGCGGCGGTGGGGCCAGATGGCAGGGCGCCGCCGTTTGTGTGTGGCAAAAATTTGGAGCAGCCTTTTTTGGAGGGGCGAGGGAGAAGGAGGCTTCGGTCTCCAAACAGGGCGTGATCCCCCCGGGTCGGTACACGCAGCTGTCCCTTTAGCAAATATGGGCCCTCATCCCGCAACCGCCCCCTAAATCGTGCTCCATTCCGGGCCTCCACAAAACTCGGCGCCCGCAACCACAATCACTTGGAGCACCCCGGCAAATAGTTGGCAGCATTATTTGGGATTCAGCTATTTTTAGAGTAGAGCTACGTTCCATTCCACAGTACGTATAGGAAAAGTTAGGTGGCGTACAATGCCTTTTTGAGATCGAAAACGTTGGGCTACGCTGGAATCCTAACTACGCGTAGGAAACCACACCGCGTAGATTCCTCTTTACACTAAAGGACTAGACTACCTTCGGTTCCTATCTACGTATAAGAAATTCTACAGTACGTATATTCCTATTTACGTATGCCTAGCCTAGCCTACGCGGAAATACTATATATACATGGGAATTTCGCTACGGATATTCCTCTTTACACCGAATTACTAGGCTACGTTGGATTCATATTTACGTAACAGAAATTCTGCAGTACGTACATTCCTATTTACGCGTTAAACAGCTCACTAGATTATCATAGGTGCACTACGTAGTTTCCTCCTTATTTCTGTACCCGTTTTTTGCTACCCATATGCCGGCGTTTTGTCCCAATTTCCCATTTCCAGATTCAACTTTTCAAATTTTTTAGATTTTAATTTTTTAAATTTTATTTCACCACCTCCCCACTTCCAGATCCGGCCAGCAACCCAAATCAGCCCCAGTCTCGGCTCGCGGCACGAAAACCCTCGCCTGGTTCCTGGCCGACACGACGATCGACAAGAAGATGAACCTGTCTGGTACGTTTGTTTTCTGTATCGAAAAATCCCCGGGAATGGGGAAACAAACACCAGGATTGCCCAACCGGGCCCCAAAAAATGTTCGGGTCCAGCGATAAGGGGTTGGCGGGGGTTTTCGAAAATATGAGTAGGTCTTGTATAAGAAAACTGGCTGTGGAAAAGATTGCAGGGGAAATTTGGGGGTATAAAGGAGAATTCTTTGGACTGGAAGGTGGTATAATTATTTATTAATAAAATTTGGATGCAAATCAGATAATTCTTAAAATTCGGTTTGCCTCCTAATTAGCTTTTATTCTATATCCGATTGATATGCTTAACATAGTTAGCCTAAGCCTAAGCCTAAGCACCCTGCTTCATTAAAACTAGACTTTTTATGACAGCCAGGTCGGCCAGATCAGATCTGCCTTGACCTCAACGCCTCGCCCTGGCCGATCCTGGCCCCGCGAGAAGGGTGTTGTATTTGTGTGTGGGTCAGCTGATCCGTACACACACGATCTTGCTCTCTCTCGCCCTCTATGTCCCTCTTTCTCTACCTCGCTCTCTCGCCAGACACTTCTCGCCAACACCCCCCTTAGGGCCGTCGGTTAGGGCCCCGGCCACCCGCCTTTGTTCCGGGCCGACCGGATTGGGGGATTGTGGGGGTATTTTTAGGTTCTGTTCAGTTTTAAAGATCATTTGCAAGTTAATTTTGCTCAAAAAATTCTAGGAGTTTAACGAACTAAATATAAAATAAATATAAAAATTGCAATATCAGAAAGTTTAAAAAAAACTATTGAGGCAAACTGAGAAACACTTCCCTCTCTCTCGCTCTCTCCCACTCTCTCTCACTCTCGTTTTCTCTCTATCTCTCTCTCTCTCTCGCTTTATCTTTTGCTCGCTTTTTGTAGTTACTCTCGAAAACTAGCAATTTTATTATAACCATTTCTCGGTATTCCTGGTAAAAGGAATTGTATTTTCTTGCTTCACTCTCGCTTTCTCTCTCTATCTCGCTCTCTCTCTCTCTCTTTCTCTCTCGCTCTCTTCTCCGCTCAACCATCAATAGCAATTTAACCTTACCACCCGACCCCAGGGAGTTCAGTGCCCATCTTAATGTTGATCGACGACTCATCCGACCCCTCCACCTCCTCCTCCTCTTCCTCCACTTTTATCTTACTGCACTTTCTGTTTCACGTGAACATGGATTGGGGGTTGAGAGGGGGCAAGGGAACGGGGAGGAAGGGCAAAATGGACCAGCTGACCAGCCGGGGTTCCTTTTTTCTGGTTCGTCATCCCGGTCGGAACCCGCCCCCGCTGCTGCTCCATTGCCCCGCTATCCCGTTTTTGGGGGTGGTTCACGCTGTTTCATCGATTTTAGAAGTTTTTCGGGGTTTTGTTATTTTCGGGCTTGATATTAGCCAATCTATAGGATTAGGGGGGTTTCGAGGACCTTGAAAAATTTCTTTGGTGCCCGATTTCAAGTTTTCCTTGTTTTTCCGGGGATAGGAGCAAGAGCATCAGTCTCCCAATCGGGGTCATTTCTTGAGGGGGAGATCTCGGGGGTAGTATTGGGGTCAGAGAGACAAGTTGTGCTTGGGACTTTATGGAATTTCAGTGGATTTAGATGCCTTTTTTCAAATAGGACCAATTAGCGATTAATTATATTGATTTTAAACGGTTATTTTACTTTTTCTCTCCTTTTTACATGTCAAAATTAACGTCAAAACAGTAGATGAACATTGGAATGTAATGGAATTCGGGCAGATCCGCCTGGTAGCGACATCGGTCTCCACCCCCCTCCAGCTTTTTTTCGGGCTCGCCTCCTCGTTTCCGCGCGCGGCTTTGCTCCGTTCCCCCCGGCCGATTCCTTGACCGACAACCCGTTCTCAACCTCGTCCTCTTCTCCCCGTTTCGATCCTCTTTCCATAGCTGAGCGCGGGGGCGCGGGCACGCGTAGCAGTCGATCTTTCCGCCCGAAATCCGCGCCACCGCCCCCTGCCGATTTCGCGCCAAATTCCGGGTTGTTTCAGGGTTTTTTTTGTATTTTTTCAACTTCTTGTAGTTTAGAGACTAATTAATAACATGTCGTAAGTCATTCGATTGATAGGAAGTGGAATTTAAAAGTTATTGCTAAATTAGTTTCTGGCTTTTCGATGCTTCTAAAAAATTGCTACTTTTGTGGTTTTAGCTTTTTAATTGTTACCTTCCCTATAAAAATTACTGGAACTTTTCTATTCCGATTCAATATTAACTACAAAACTATTAAAATTTCTGAATTTCAACAGAAGTTCAGTTTCTTGCAGCCCTGAAAATTTAACCCTATCATTACCCCCAAAAATTACTAATTATAATCTTCCGACAACAAGCTTCGTCAGCGCTTCGAAAAAAGGGCGGACCCAGCATCCGGTGCTGGCCGGTATTTGGACTTTGATGTGTTTTCCGCCCCTTCCCCCTCCCCTCCTCTGCGTTGCTGGTGTTTTGTGGTGGTCTGCTCACTTCGGGGGGGAGTTCCTCTTTACCTCCCATTTCTGTCTTTTTCTTTTCTGAACGTTTTGTCGCCCTCCCCGGCCTCTTCGTCGTCGTCCACTATTTGTCCTCCGGGCGCGCGGTGGCTTGGCACCACGAAGTACTGCTTTTTAGGTATAGAAAACCCGGGGGGTAAAGCTTGCAGTCTTGGGTTTTTCAAGTTGTTTTGACGTGCGGCTACACTACATTCCTCTGGACACGCATAGGAGAGGCTTGGCTACGTTCCATTCCTCTTTACGATAGTTTAAATCAGGTTCAAGTCGCCACATTTCACTTAAAGGAACATTAAGTTGCTATTTCTTAGCAACAGACAATTTTCCAAATGACATTACACGCCAAATTTTTGCCAAACTACGCTGCATTCCTCTGTACACGTCGAAAATCGGACTACGCTTCGCTCCTCTGTACGCTGGAAAAGCCTGAATTACGTATCATTCCTCTTTACGATAGCCTAACCTTAAATTACAAATGCATTTAAGTCTTCGCTATCGGTTTTTCTATACGGTTTCCCAATTGGATAATTGCCAAACCTATTTTACACCAAAAAATTAACGGCTTGACAGTTTAGAGGATTTTTAAAGTTTTTAAGTTTTATGGGCTATCTATTTCGATACTTCCAATTTTTTAATGGCCTCAAAAGCCCGAATTATCCCCTCCAAAAAAATTTCCGAAATCCACCGGAAAACACTCGATGACCAGTCAATCGATTCCGTTTCGAAGGGCAAAATTGTTTATCTTTTCGGGGCAGCCCCCCTTGCTGGGCCGACGAGGGCCGTGTCACTCACAAAAGCCCCTTTCCGGGGCTGTCCGATCGACACCTATAAACGGGCATCCACCCCAAATTTTGGTCTGTACCGCTTTGATAACTCGTATGCATCGGTGCTAGCCAATTTCTACTTTTTTTTAGCCGGTTTTCCATCTCTGCTTACAGATCTTTCCTTGAATTTTTAAGGGGGAAAAGTTGGGCTTATCTCTTCTCCGAGTGCTTGGCTTGTTTTTTCGTGTGCTTATCGAAATCTGGGAGTGGTTGTGGGGGGAAGGAAGGAAACTTATAAACAAAAGCCAGATGTCAAGGTTCGTAGCGTTTCGTAGCCTTCTATGCTCCTTCAAACCTCCAAAGTACCCCCTCCTTACACAACTGTTTATTGGCCCCAACACCCCACCCCAGCCGAGATCAAGTCGCAACATTTTTTTCCGTGACGCTCCCCCCCTAAAAGTTGCCCTTTCTGATTGGCCCCTTCCTTCTAGGTCATCCATTTGTGTCAGCTGGTTTTCTTGGGGCCCTCCCCTGACCACTGGGACCCATCACGCCCCTTTTTTATGTCCGGGGCCCTCTCCTGGGAAAGCGACGAACACGGGGATGAGCCCCCAAAAAAGGGCAAAGGGCCCTTTCGCCCTTTCTTTGGCCCTTTCCTTAGGGCCCGCTCGGGTCACGTGTCTTCTCATTATGCAACGGGGAAGATGGGGGGACTCGGGGGGTTTCGGATCCGTTCTTTTCGGTTTTGTGAAAATGGGCTCAATATTTTATAGGGATTTTGGTTTGGTGAATTTTGGTAGCATAGAAATTCGTATTTTTCTCAGAAATGGTTGCTTATTGGAAAAATTTTCTCTGAAATCTTCTCACTAAATAAATTATTTAAATCACAGCTTAAACTTTTCCTGCATTTTCTTCATTTTCCATTCGTTAAAATTCAGCTTTTTAAAGTCCATTATGGCAAAAAAATTCCCTGATTTTCGATGTTTAGAATTCCGTTTAAAAACTTTATGGAGAAATTTTTGTAGGTGCGTTTAAGCAAGCCAGGAAGAATATTTCAAGTTTTCGTGCCAATTTGACGTATTTCCCTGTAAAAATCACCTTTTCCTTACGTTCCGCTACACTCCAGTTTACACGTTTTTTTGAAAACTCAAAACAATTCCCTTCCACGTGCCCGGGCGTACCAGCAAAAAATTGGCCCCCTAATTTTTTGCAAGTGTTCATTTTTCTGGCACCCTTCAGGGCGGGGGGGGGGGGTGTCGCGTGACGAATCAGCTGTTTACCTGGGGCTCATATCAGCCGACCCGGGGGCCGTTGTCGGTGCTGCCCTTCTTCCGGCCGGTCACTCGCCCCCTAAACTGTGCCGCTCGGCAGCTTTTTTCAATTAAAACGGTGTATTTCCCCGCGAAAACCCCGGGGCGGAGGCTCGGATTTTTGTGATAAGGGTTTGGGGGGGGGGGGGGAATGGGGTCAATCGGGTTAACGATCAGTTGTTGTTTTCGGGCATTTTGAGAAGGGTTTTACTGGGGGGAAAGCCTAAGCCTAAGCCCAAGCCTAAGTCCAAGCTTAACCTTAAGTCTATGCCTACTGGTTGGAAATACCGGGGCTTTATACCTAAACTAAAGATTTTTCATATTATTGCACGGGTTTTATATGATTTAATAAACCCGATTCACCTTCTATATTTTCAGCTTCATCCTCGCCCATCAACAAACATCCGCCCCAGCAGCTCGACAAAATGCTGGCCGGCCAGAAGGAGAGCGCCGAGCGCCGGAAGCGACGAGTCAAAAAGGCCAAGACCCGCCACGACAGCCACACCACGCCGTCGGAGGGATCAGGTAGAAAATTTTGCCTTTAATAGTCCTTTAAAGTCAAATTTTGGCTGAAAATTTGCTTTCAAAGCTCTGAAATTGTTTTTCACCTGCTTAATTTCGAGTTTAGCCCCCAGCGACGCGCTCGGAGATGAGAAGCAAAAGATCGTCACCGACTTCAAGGAGGATTATTGGTACTATGATGTGACGTCGGATGGATATTATTACGAGCAGAATGGGGCTAAGGGATGGAGGCGGCGACAGCCGAATACTGACCCGAAGAAGTACTTCGAGCAGGTAGGAGAGAATTAAATTGCCAAAAAAAACCGAATTATACCTTAAAAAATTTCTATACTTATTCCTTGTAGGTGACCAACGTCGACAAGCTGCCCACCACCACCGTACCACCACCAAACGCTGCCAACCAGCTGGGCGTTGATCCTCGGGCCCTGCAAATCCTTCAACAAGCCCTCTACGGCCAGCAGCCCGCCTACAAGTACTACGATCCGAACTCTGACGGGTATTACTACGAAATGGCGTCTGTTGATGGCTGGCGTAAGGTGAGAATTTTTAATTTAATTCATACTAAATCATCGATTTTTCGCTTCCCAGTTCCTTCAAAACCCCAAATTTTCAGCGCCAACCCACCCGTCCGGCTTCCCAACAAGCCCCTCGCCTTCCAACAGCCACCCCACAGCAACAAGCATCTTTCCAATCATACGGTGCTGCTTTGGCTCGGGGCCAGATGCCGCGCGCTTGGATGTTCTCCGAATCGTCCGCCTCATCGTCCTCATCCGATGAGACGGCCGTACATGACGCCCTTCTTGCCCAGATGGACGAACTGTCGGTTGACACAACCCTCGCCAGACCGAATAAGCTCGCCGGTCCGGAGCTGCTCAGCAGCTTCAACGTTGACCGTTTCTTGGAGAATTCGGTGTTCCCGGAGCAGAAGGTGGGTTTTAAAAAATCGGAATCGAGAAATCGAAAATCGGCCTATTTTGGTAGAAAAACCTACATTTTTGTATTTTTGTTATCAAATTTCGAAAATTTTTTACGTTTAGGAGTCGTAAACACAGTTTAAAACACTTTATCGATTTATATTAAAAAAAACTGGATCCCGAGAAAAATTCGCCTCTCCCGATAATGCCAAAAAACCTATTAAACATCCTGTTTAGCGAGAATTATTCCATTTTTTTTCAGGCCTTCGACATGTGGTCGTCTCGCAGCCCGCTCTCGCCTCTCAAAACCGCGAATTCGGTTCTCGAGACGCCTCGTGCTCCCTTCGAGGCCCCACGTCTCCCCATGAAGGCCCAGGAGCCAACGTGGAGCGGCTGGGGAATCTCGGCCCAGGAGCCCCGTGCCAAGCATCTGCCTGAGCTCCAGAAGATCTGGCAGGCCCCTACTCCGACCGCCTAAATCAACCACCCATATAATAATCCATTCAATTTTCGGTCCTGGCACTTTTTGGGATACCTTCGGTTTTCAGGGGATCCTGTACCCGGCACCGTTGCACAAATTCCCGGCCCGGGGGCGCCAAATGTTGAGCCGGGGTTTTCTTTTGCGACCCAAACACAGTACACCTCAAAACCCGGCTCTCCCATTTTGGCCCCTTCTATTGTATGGACTAGGTCCTTCGGTTTTCAGGGGATCTAGAAGACCCTTCTGGGCCTTGCAAGGGTTGGCTACAAACTCCAAAAACAGGCAAAAACCATCAGCCAACCCTCGCAAGCCCCGATTTCTACTATTATTTTATTCTTTTTCTCTTTTTTTTACGTTTTGTGCTTCCCCTAGACAATGCCACGACGACAATTCCGAACCCCCACCCAACGCGCTTCACTAGAGAACAAAAGACACCGTTTTGTTGCCACTTTTTGGGATATTTGCATCTTGATTTTTGGGCCCCACGATAGAATCAGTATTGCATTTCTTGCGGTGGGCTTTTTGTCGGGCCCGCCGCGGAGTGTTGTACATAGGAGCATCGCGGATTTTTTTGAGTATTTTTTGGGTTTTTGGTTTTGATGGGATGGAGTATGTCTAAATGGCGATTTTGATTTTTTTAAAGTACCGTTGAAGGCTGCTCCATTCCTTTAATGAATTCCCCCATCCAACAAGAAGACACCCTGTAAACTACTGTGTTGTTATGTGTGCGGCGCGTGTGTTTTTTATTCCGATGTATACGTTGTCCGGAGTGTTCCGTATGGGATCATTTACATATCTCTGTTCGGTCCTCCAAATTGGGGATTTTTAGAGGAGTTTTTGATTTTCTGGAACTTAATTTTAGTATCGATTTACAAAGTCAAATTCTAAAAATTCAAATTCCCTTAAAAACCCCCAAAAATGGCCGTCGAGTGCCGGTCTCTCAAGGCCCCTTGGTGATCCCGGAAGTCCAAAAAATTTACAACATCAAATTTCCACCCGGGACCACCCTAGTTCATTAGGGTATTATTTCCATTTTTTACCGAATTACGAACGTTTTCTGACTCATCAGGGTCCCTCCCCCATGCCTGTTAATATCATAAACCAGCCCCTAAACCCTGGAAAAACATACCGTAGCCCTGTAGGTCGTAGACCATTAGGAAATGAGGCGTCTTGATTTCAATATTTCTGTATTTCTGGCTCCCGCACCAACCACCCCCGGAAAAATTTCGTAGGCAAAATTACTCCCCTTTGTTTTTTCCCCCCACGTTGTTTGATGGTAGTTGTGCTACGGTTTTGAGCGCGTATTATCTCTGAATACGAGAGCTGCTTTCTGTGACCCGTTTCCGGAACCGTATCACCTGAGGCCCAATTCACTTAGCCGCCCCACTTCCTCATCACCGACTACACGATACAACCCCCTTACACCACCTATAAGATACCACCTTCCAACGCCATTTCCCCCTCCCCACCACCACCACCATCACCACCCGCCTGTTGTTAGTTGCCCTGCGGAGAGTGTGTCTTCTGGCAAATAAATAAATTGAGAAATGAAAGTGTTGAAAATGCAATATATACATTAAAGCATCACAGACTGCCGACTACAGACTATAGATATTTTAATTTGTATTTTTTGGATTAAAGCCATTGACAAAAGTCGGAATCCAAGATTGTAGGGGTGTCTCCTCACGGGTAAATAAGGTGCGAAATTGGAATGTTGAAAATGTAATATATATCGACACATTGATAGCTTCAGATACAAACTACACATAGTAGAGCACAGGTTTCTGCAGTTGTTTTGACGAATTGCTACACGGCATTCCTCTTTACGCATAGAAAAGGCTTGGCTATGTTCTATTTCTTTCTGTTATAGTTGAAATAAAGTTCATGAAGCTAAATTTCGCTTCAAGGAACATTAAAAGCGCTATTTTTTTTATTAAAAGATATTTTCCGTTGAAGGACTGCAGGACAAATTTTCGCTAATACTACGCTACGCTACATTCCACCGTACGTCTGAAAAATGCTGCGTTTCTCAAAAACTCAGATACCACAGAGGAGTACTACAGATTATTAAGGTTTCAAAGGTTTTTTTTTATCCTTCAATCATCCTACAAAAATCAGAGTGTTGTCAATTCTGTTTTTTACTCTGCACGTTCGCAGTATCACCGTGGAAAAGGCAAAATCCGGGAGTGAGCACCTATCATCTGTTACCAGTTTCCTATCACTTCCCGTCACTTTACCCCCGAGATACGAGTGGAAACAATGGCAAAATACAGAGAACCCAAAAAAGGATAATACGTTCAATTCTATCGCAAATTATTGTGCTGTAATGCGAAATGGCAGGCAATGTTTAAAATGTTGCTTTTGCTCAGTAGAATCGCAAACTTCACTATATTATAGTCTTATGGCAAGTCAAGCCACTTGGAGCAGGAGCAGGAGCACCAAGTTCAGACTCCATCAAAGGGACACGGAAGTTCCATTTTTATATACCACTTACCGGCACTGAATGGGCTCGCAAAAAAGTTATGATGTCTTTGAGTTCTGGTAAATTAGCAGAGGTTGTTTGAAATTGTTATACACCTAATATGTTTCCCTCTAACTTATTTTCCTGCTCAGTCTCTCTAACTAACTTCTATTTTAATTTTGCTTCCTCAATTCACGCTTTATTTTTTTAAATATAAAAGCGACATCTGAATTAGCATACAGTAGGCTAATTAGCATGGAAAGCGTAGAACTCCGAGGGAAAACGCCATAGACAGTTGTAGTTTTTTCAAGCCACTTTTTTTAAGTTTAAACTTTGCATCCTAATTAACTTCAAAATTCATCTCTAGAGGCGTACCATCTCTAGTTCATACCGTAATATCATCCTTCTATCTCTCTCACCCCTTTCTCTCTCTCTCTCGCTCTATCTCGCTCTCTCTCTCTCGCTCGCTAACTCTCCCTCTCTCTCACACTCTCTCCCTCTATCTCACTTTCTCACTCTCCCTCCCTCCCTCTCCCTCTATCTCTCTCTATCTCTCTCTCTCTCTCTCTCTCTCTCTCTCTCTCGTTCTCTCTCGAAAATGGATTTGATTTTTGCATCTAATTTTTTAGCTTTTTTCCCTGAAGCCTTGTAGTCTTCCTCAAAATAACTTGGTGTAAGAACAATATAACTACATTTAATAAATTCAAATTCGAATACAATCCCGGGTCTTGAGTCAGAGAAGCCCCCCCCCCCGGCAGTAGCACAAAGCGCTATAAAAGGGAGGGTGAGTGTTTTTTGAATGGACAGAGCAACAGGAGGGAGAGACGGGGGTTGACCTGTGGATCCAGAATGGCAAATACACGTGAGAGATGGAATCAGAAAGGGGTCGTTTGTGCTCTGTTTAGGACGGCCGCCCATAGGGGGTTCATTGTCCGACCCTACCCTCCCCTCAGTCTCGCTTTCCCACCCTCACTTTCTCAATTTCTACCAATTGCCATTGGCTCTCGGGTTGTCTTTTAAAAGGGTGATGATTCACCCCGCGGGCTGGACATTCCCGCCCCTTAATTTTCCCCCTCGCGGGAGTCTTACTCACCTTATTGGGAAGTTCCGGAATTTTCTCTGGGTTTTTTAATTCGTTCTGAAAACCGTGGTTAATGGATACTGTAGTCTTACTTTTACCTCAGCTATTAAAGTGTTATAATATAGAAAACCTATGTAAGAGTGCCAGGCAGACGAACCTGGTTTTCCTGTCTTTAGAAAAATTTTAACTCGGAATCAAGCTGTTTCTGGAGAAATTTTTATTCTGGCTAAGATGGGTGCTGTAGCGTTATTACTGTTATTATCGTTATTACCTTTATTATTATTAATGGTTTTTATACAAACCGAGCCCAAAATCGTTACAATTTCCTTAATTTACTGTTCCTTCGCATTAACGTGGGACCAATTTTTCTACTAGTATTGCCATGGCAAGTATCTTAAGGATTTTTAGCAAAATTTAAACAGCTTTTAGGTAAAAAACAACAAAAATATGACATTTTGGTAGGAAATCGGCTCTGTTTCTTCGAAAAATTCATATTTTTTTGGTATCATTTTAGCCCACTTTGTAAAGTATAGAAGCCAATTTAGAAGCACCTCCGCAATGTACGAGTGAAAGATTGATTCTTGAGAAAAAGCCCCACCCCCCCCCCCCCGATAATGAGAAAGAACCAAAACCAAGTTCCTGAATAAGAAATATGGTAGAATACTTGTAGATTTTATGATACCGTATATAACCTCGAGTAAGCACTACAGCAAAAATCTAAGAAGTCCATCAGAAATAAACCCATAGGAAAAGGGCGAGAGAAGATAATCCGGAAACTCAGGTTACGGTAGCCGCTGAGCGTCAGATAATATATTCATCGATTCTCCGTCTTTACAACCCAAAATAAGTTGCAAAATAGGTTGTAAAATAATTCTTAATTTTTACATTTCTAGCTTTTCCTTGTTGTTTTCTAGCCGTTCTCCCACATTTTTCGTTGTTTTGATCGGTTGAGTCCGACTCGTTCCGCTGTTTCCATTGACCCGGGGGTTGACTGTCGATAGGCTATCATCAGTACGGGAAGCTCTGCACACCAAATAAAGGGCACGAAAAAAAACGGAGAAAGGCAATTCTAGGCACAACTGTTGGGTTGCAATCCGTGCGCGGGAAACGGCAAATTCGATAGATTCATTTGGGCTGACAGATCGGATCGGACGAGGGGTTGTTTTTGCTGTTGTTGATCATTTATAGGAATTGGTTTTCAGAAATTGTAGAAATATTTTATTAATAGAATTTTTAGATTAAAATCAGGCTAGAATTTATCGATTTAGGAAGATTGCTTGATTATTGGGGTGATTAAAAATCCTGACCAGCATAGCTATTTACATAAATTTGCTATCATAGTGCCGAATATCCTAACGTCGAGTTTCAGAATGCCGGAATTCAGAATTTCAAAATTTTTACAAAGGGCTGGGGTCTTTTCCGGAATTTTTATGTAAATTTCGACATTGAAAT